TCAAAAACAATTCAAACTATAGTTTAGGTTATTCAATGAAAGGTACTTGCATTGTTGATATTATAAAAGGTGTTAATTTAGAAAATCTTAAGAAATATTAAGATGCAATTAGTTGCTACGATAAAGCAATCTAAATAGATCCAAATTTTGCAAATGCCTATAAGAATAAGGGTATTTATTGTTTTAATTCAAATAGGTATTTCTTTAACAATATTGAAAAAAAATAAATTAGCTATAGAAAATTATGAGCTAGCAATCAAATATTGCAAAACTGATGAGGATGAATTTATAAGAAGAATTTAGGAAATAAAAAATAAAAAATCAATATTTAAAGATATTTCATTCATAAAAATAGTATGATTTAGAATTCATTTTATTATCGCCTTCCTAATTTTCGTTTAAATTTAGTTATTTAATTTTTCAAATGATCTATCATTCCTTGCGTGTATTCTTACATAATATATGGGTAAATACTTAAGTTATATTTCTGAACTTATTTAAAAAGTCTAAGACTTATTTAAAATATCTATATTAGTTTAATCTGATTCCGTTTTTTTAATAATTTCAAGAACTATTCTCTATCTGAAGCTGAATATTTTAGATTCTTTTACTGGGAGCAAGAATTAATTTGCTCAGGTTTTATACTTAAAATTGGTTCTAATATTGGATACTATTTGTAATTTCTTCTTTTATTTATTATATTTATCTATTGCCTCTTAATATATCTATATAGAGAATTATAATGATTAAAAATTGCTAAAAGAAAATCAAAATTATTAAAATATTATGTCAAAAATTTATTTTTGTATTTAAATATTAAATTTAGGTTAAAATTCATAATGTAATAATGGTGTGAGTTTTAGATTATATTAGTATTCTTTATTTATATTTATCTAAATATATCTGAATTAAGAATAATTAAAAGGTTTAGTATCATTAAATATAAAAATGAATTAGAAAGAATTAATTATTATAACTCTCTTGCTTAAGTTAATTACCAGAAATAATGAAATAATTAAAAAATTATAAAAATACTAATTTTAATATAAGCCTGATTAAAAGATGAAAATAATGCTACTTATTATAGCTTTTGGAAATTAAATGATAGATTTTTGTATTTAAATTTATTTCTAAAGAAGTGAATTTATATTAGCAAGAATAATTATCTTTAATATCTCTAAAACCTAACACTTGCAATTTTATTCTTCTTCCTCTTTTATTAAGAGCACTAAACATTTTTGTCGAAAATCTATCGATGATGATTATAACATAGGTTTATTTAATTCATTGATAGAAAGCAATAATTGTCGGATTTTTATACAAAATTAATTTACGGATTCATATTGTTTAGTTTTTAAAAATCTGCATTTAAAACAGAGTCTATTTGGTTTTAATTGATTGCATCCACACATCCTGATTTAATTTTTGTATTTTTAAATGAGATTCTTATTATAATTTCTCTTTTTAATAATTTCTTAATATTATTTCTCCCCAAATTTGAATGACTAATTATTAAATTTTAACCAATATGGAGGTACAAAATATAAACAACAGGAATTCCAAGATTAAGCAAACTTAGCTTATGTTCTATTTCTATCAGAAGAGATAGATAAAAACATAATATGTTCTCCAACATCATTACCAAAAATTTATAATAAATTTTTCGTTAGATGAAATTTTCTGAATAATTTAATTATGATAATTCATAATGTAATTTTAATTTACCATAGATTCAATGATTCTAGATCTCTTAACTAGTCTGTCTGTTATACTCTATAAAATAAATAAATCTAAATTTTATCCTTTTGTTTCTCCAAATTCAGGAGTATCAATTTACCTTAAATTGGGTTTGAAATATTATCCTTCTTTATAAAAAGTTAGTACTCCTAAAGTTTTACTAAATGCCGAATTTATGAAAAACCAGATTCATCAGTTTCATCAACTAAACAAAACCTATAAGGAAGTTGAAATTACACACCAATAATTTATTAAAGTTGATTTGCCTACTTTTGTTTCGCCAAAAATCATAATTGTCTTAGGAGCTTTAAAATGGTTAAATAAAATCCAGGATATTTTTGGATTTTATAAAGTAACTTCTTCATCTTTAATTTCTTTTGAAAAAATGCTATTTTCAACTATATATTCCAAATTTGATTCCTTCATTAAAAAAAATGATCATTTTGAACTAACTAATTTTGAATAAATTTATAATTACAGTATTCTTTTAAAATTGCTATATTTCTAAAAGAATAATAAAGTTGTGATTAAATCAACTTAATTTTTTCTTGCCATCTTTTATTTAATAGGATATGGTTGTTAAATTAGAATTTATAAATTCGAACCTATAAATCCATTTTGGTTTACTTCTTATATTTAAGATGAATTAGAAATCAAAAATGATGGATTTATAAATAACTTATTGCATTACGATGATTTAATTTGTTTTTGATTAAATAGATTAAGTAAAAACGAAGATCCCATAATAAATTTACATTTTGTGAGTTTAATTAACAATTAGTTGTTCAAAATGTTATAAATGTTTGATTTTAAGGTTTCTTTAACCATTCTTAAAATTTATTATAGTGAATATGATACTCAAGTACTTATTCTTTTGTTATAAATTATAAATTATGACGATAAATGATTCCATTTTATTTACATTCCATGCTATATTTGAAATCTAATTATTATCAACGCCTGTAACATATTAAATATTTCATCTATATTAATATCCTTTTTTGATGAATAATAATAAGAATTTTTTAATTTAATTTTTAAAATGATTAAATGTCTCTTATATATAATTCATCAATTAATATTAAAAAGTTATCATAAGAATCTTTATTTATAAACAATTATGGAGTATCAGACTTATAATCATCATTTTAGCCTAAAACACCATATTTTAATTAAAAGGCGAAAAAAAAATTATGAGATTATTGTTTTTCTTTTTTGATGAGTTGATTTCTTGATATTAATTTAATAAATTAGATGATATGTTGAAACATTCATAATATATTTGATTAATTAAAATTTTATAAACCTTTTCTATTTTATATCTCCTTTTCTTTATAACATAATTTAACTATGTATTATTTATTTTCTCATTTCCCTAATACTATGATTTGGAATTTATACTTAATTAATCAATAGTTTTTAATTACTTGAACAATCATATTATGATATATATTGATATTTTGAAGGATGGAGTTTGCTTAATTTCTGCTGTTGAATACTAGATAGAACTTCATTTTAATTGTCTAAAAAAATTTTCATTAATAGCCTCAATGAATACTCAGTGATGGAATCAATTATTAATCTATTATTATGTATTCACACTATTTGAAATATCCAAGTAATTAAATGTTGTCTCATCTAAGCCAAAAAAAGGAATATATGGGTAGAGGGATAAGAGGAATTCTAAAACGATCTTGAAAGCTTGGAGTTTATCAATATAGATTATTAATAGTGTTTTTTTGTATTATATTTCAAATCACAGAATTAAATTCTCTTTTCTAATTGAAAATCTATTAATGAGAATCATTATATTCTAATATGAATTATCTTCTTC